TTTTTAGTACAAAAATATTAAGCACATTACATTAAAAAATTATAAATTGTGGCATACATAATCCCATCCTTATTAAAATGTATAAATAACAATATTATGGCCCGATAGAAGGAAATGCATATAATTTGGTAGCATCTATACTGTCACTGATAACATATCAAAAAGTACAGTATGACTTATAATTATATAAAAGTTAATATATTTTACATATTAATAAAATATATGTACATCAACTGGTTTCATATCAGTGCCATTTTCAGATTGAATTATCTGGCTGTATTGATATTTTGAGAATACAATAACAATGCATCCATTGCAATTCCTGGTACATATAAGTACCACTATTTTAAAAATAGAACAGAGTAGAAAATTCTTTATTCAAATAAACTTACATTAAAGAAATAGAATAGTCATTGCTTTTTTTTTATTTACTCATTCCAAAAGCTGTCTCACAAGCAGAAGAAAGAAACTTGCCTATTGTTCTTTTGATTATTTTAGTTGTACTTACTTTACACTATTAACTTGAAATATGTGAATACAATGCCCGCACTAATCCATTCTCAAAATAATAAAGACATAACCAACTGGTTGGTAACTAAATAAGAATAATTCAGTCATAGTGATGACCAGTCTCTACAAGATTTTTCTTTATTTTGTAAATAATTAATTATAATAATAAATATTGTGTACTAGACAACTGATAATAATATATACTACTATATATAATGTACATAGAAAACATTTGGACCAATATAAATGATCTTACTCATGAATACAAATGTTTGCATCATGTGAGGAATCAATCCCACAGCCATCAAGCTGGTTTAGCTTGATGGCCAGAGAATGAGGCCAGAGAACTAATGTCTGTTGGTACAAAACCCAATTAAGGAGTCTCCTTATAAAGAGATATCTAAGCCAAAGAGTATCTAATTAAAAAATTACAACAAATAGATACACAGCATTTTTAGAAATGTCAATAATTAGGAACATATTATTATACAGTCATACATATATAGGTATTTAGGCAATAGATAAGTGGCACTTAATTTTACCTCCAATGGGTATATGTCCGATTTAAACTACTATAATCTTTATATATTCTACGATTTATAGAAGCTTCATTTCACAAATACATACATATATATGTATTTCTGTAAAAATTAAGTTAGGATTAAATTGATGATGTGTATATAAGGTTTAATTTAACATAAAATAAAAACATAATTTTGACTAAACAAAATATTTTATTTTATTTTATGTTAAATATCTATATATGTGTATTACTGAAATAAAAAGTTTGTATAATACCATATTTACTTATATAAATCACATCAACTATCATTGTCTTGACTTTAATAGTATTAAAGTCACACTCTTGGTTAGTTCCTATTTAATTGGTAAAATAATAATTAAAAAAGAATCATAGCTTAAATGGCTGTTTATTATTTCAGATTATGGTATATATTTTGAAATAATTAATGTAAAATAAAAGTCACTGTTTACGAAGCAAGATGATTAAGAGATAAAGAAGATTAATAGATACACATATTAAACTCAATATTGATCATGCCTAAATCTATTATAAGCCTAATGTAATAGTTTTTCTATAAAACCTACTTCTCTTATGTATTTGACTGCATGACAAAAAGAAAAAGTGTTTAGATTTTGTTTCAACATTAATTTCATACACATAGAGAGCATGGAAAAGTACTTTAAGAACTATATTTAACACATTCACTACAAAATTGCAGTTACTAAGGATTAATATCTATATTTTGTAGATTACAAATACATATACTTAGCTTTTATTTATATATTTAATTAAATATATACTTATAATAAAATTGATAAAATATCCATCACAATGTTATAGTAAAAAAAAACACAAATTAACAATATTATAGATTATTAATGACTTTTTTTCTAATCAAAACAAGTTTAGCTGCATGTTACAGTTATTAAATATATGATAATAATTAAACATTTATCTTCATATTGCAATTCAATATGAAGTTCAATGTTTAATTCATCCTCGATGTTTATACATAAATATTTATTATGATCTTATAATGTATTTAATTGTATTAGTGAAATTAAAATATATATTAAATATATTGACAGAATATGTATATTTTGTATGCTATCTGTGATGAATAGTGTGTTACTGTCTGATATTGTATACTGTATATAAAGAGGAAAATCATTTTCTCTTTGTATTGTATAAACTCACACATGCAGAAGGTCCAGGTTCAGTCCCATCTAAATATCAAACATATACATGAATGTGTTACTCTGAAAGTATTCATTAATGAAGATATACAAGCTAACAAACTCATAAACTGTTTGTTGCCAGAATGTAACTAAGTATTGTTTATTTTTAAAACTTATAGGTATTTTGTGTGTCAAATGAAAAACAGTACTTCCCGGGACATATCTTCATGTGATTCTCAAAACCAGTTGTTCATAGTCAGTATATAGATATTTTGGTGACACAATTAGAATAATTAGACAAAAATAATTAAATATTACATAAAAATAAGTAAGAAAACATATTTACTTTTGCATGTGAACAAACACCGGCAGACTGTGAACTCCTGTTGGACACGGGAGCTAGTGGCACGGCACTAAACATAGACACAGCTCCAGGATACTCTGGAGACTTCACTGGGGCTTGCGCCATAATCACTTCCACATAACACTCCACTGGCACCGCGACACACCAATCTCTTCTCATAACTATATTATAACACCTAAATACACCTCCGTACCACAAATTTCATAAGTAACAATTTTTATCACAGTAACATATTCAATATTGCGCCATAACAGTATCACTAGTAATTTTAGTTAAAGTATTGTCGATATAGAGTAACATAACTCGATCGAGATTCGATCGGACACAAACGCGGACCGCTACAAGCCGAAACTTTCGTAAATACCTTCCAACTGTTTGTTCAATGATTCAAGGTGGTCTATGTACAAGTCCTGGGATCTCCACGCGGTACGCAGTGAGTCGACGGAGGCGCTCTCGAGCTGGTGCGGGGTCATTAACACGCGCGTCTCTTTGGTGCCTCCGCCGCCTGCACTGCCGTCACACGTCGCTTCGCCATGGCGTTCTGTCTCTTCGGACATTGCACTCTTACCAATATTATAAGAGGCCCTTTTTTGACTGTAAGCAAATGTTAAGGATTAATTCGAGAATAGACATTGAATTTGCATTTGTCGGCCGTTATCAGAAACCTGTAATGATTATGAATTGAATAGTACATGAGATGAACTTACACTTATAAAATAATTAATAAGATATAACCGGTCCAGGAGCAACTAATTATTAAACTTTATCACTAAAATTGTCACAAAAAGGATTATTTTTTGAGGTCGTCAGTTACGGTTCTATGAAATACAGGCACCGCCATTTTATCACGTAGCACAATGCGAGTTGCCATATAAATTTTTTTTTCTACTAATCGAACGGATACGGTAGAAAACATACATACCCAATATGTGTTTTCTACCACATATTATTAGTTTTTGCTTCTTTTTTAATTAATATAATTTATAACAATTAATTCACTATTATTTCAAGAATAAAAAATGCAAAGCAGTGAAATTAAAAGAAAACAGATCGAAAGAAACACAATCGAGTCTTTACGAGTGGCTTGACAATGGTTTGAACTCGATGCAAACGATGACAAATAATATTTGAGTTGCGCAGCAGATGAGTTGTCAAAACAGAGCCATAGACTACTGGCGCCAAATTTAAAACTGATCCGTGCTTAATAATTGATATTAGTTAATCACTATTATTATCGTGATTCTAGACAGATGTTAAATTAAAAAATATAAATATATGAGTACAATAATTTTAGTAATGATTCATCCTTTTTTGAACTGAATAAACATAGAATAGTGCACCCTTATGCCGCTGACGGTGTTCGGCTGTTCGGCTCATGTTCCGTACTCTATCATTTTGAATATTGAAATATAGCCAAAAAAAGTTACAGGCTGTGGAGTAACATCTTAGTCGTTCGAAATGGCAAGGCCTGAAGGTAGTAGCGAGAGGCGTCTCATCTAGTATGATGATGTTATGTCCGTGGCGCCTTTATCTTGACGACGATTACAGTGGTAATCGTCGTCAAGATGTTAAGTGTAACATTAGGTGGGCCGGCAGTCCGTCAGTTTGTTTACCATTCCATATAGTTAGATAAAAATATGAATATGACACTGTATATACTAAGGTATTTCTATTATTTAGAGCAGAATTAAATCTAATTCAGTATCTACGTACATTGTACAGATATCTACGTACATTGTAATTGCTTAGCCTTGAGTGCATTTTTCTAAGAACTACCAGCTTTTCCAATCTACATCTTCAGGCTATCTATAGGTAACTTGTTTTTCTTTGGCCTACTATTCAAGTAAAGACAACTTCAATAGTAGAGCTAACAATAATCATACTTACAAATTGACATTTTATTAGTTTTTACCAGTGATCTTATCAGGATGATTAGGATAACTTGGTTGACCAGGACTAAAATAGCCTATATCCTTGTTATATTCCTATTTCTACTTCCGACGACGGGCATTAACCGAAATTTGATAACTGGCGACCACGAGAATAAACTCAATTGTGTTTCATTCATACTTTTCTTCACATAGTCTACTCTGACAGTAGATATTGAAAATATGAATTTAGTACCTATCGTTATCGTAGGAATCGACAATCCTAGGGGATTGTCGACACGGTTCGGAACTTTCTTAGTCAATTCTTTGTGAATTTACCATGATGCTATAACTGACCTGACTTCATGTTCAGTCTTATCCTAAACTAGGCACTAGTTTAGGATAAGACTGAACATGAAGCTAGCTAGCTGCATAATAAATATTTCGTTATCGCAAAATCTTTAAAAAAAGTTTGCGTCTGATTCTTGATCAAGCTATAGGTCTTCATTGGATTCTTGATGGTGATAAATAAAAAATCAAAAGAATTTGTCGATTAATTTAATATCTTACTGTTTGATTTAATAGGTAGGTTTATAACAAATAACATCTAATTAATGTTTAACATTAATATTTCTATACAATTATATTATGAAGTATTCACATCTATATCACAATATGTACAACGGAATGTTGATTGTCCTCGTAAGGAGAAGCGAACTGTCAATAAGGTCGCCACACTTCTTGACTCCCAGAGCCATATAATCCGTGCTTGGCTTCCTCGTTTGACTCACAAGATTGCACCAGCCCTGCTCCTTCAGCGCTGCCCTGCAGTTCGGCAGTTATCGATATTCCACCATCAATATCGCTAATTTTAATTTCACTCGGAATATACTGTTCCAAATGGTGTTTATCTATGGAACTGTGCAGATGAACATGTATTTGGTTCTGGTTTACTGTTGAATAAAGGTTAGGCATGATCATTTGCGGGTTAGGATTGATGTACGGCGCAGGGGATTGTAGGCAAGCCGTGTTGTTATTTATATTGTTATATTGGTAGTTATTGTAGTTGTAGTTGTTCGTCTGCCAGGCATTGTAATAGGTGGGGTCGTATCGCTGCGCTGGCATGGCGGTGGTGTTGAGGTCTGTGAGAGCAGGACCTGCACCGCTGGGGCTGCCTTTATAACTCGCTGCATTGCTTTGGTAGCCGCCGTACTCTGAGTGCCCCAACGGAATATCTGGTATTACTGTGAAAAAACGCATTTACATAATTAATAAACAGATGAGGAAATAAATGTAAATAATATATGTTATTCAAATACAACACTATTTGACCAGTGACGTTGTTTTAATTAACTGAATCATGGGCTTTCCCATATCTTTATATGACAACGATATTATTGTGTTTAATGTAATAATATTACAATATATATTTCAAATATGTTAAATTAATGTTATGGCGATACTCAATTTATTTGGTTCCAGTGTGATATGTAAATAATTTAACAATTAAATTTCATTACATTTTCTTTAACGTCAGCTATATTATTGCTGCCTCTTTCATAATTTGTGAAGTTCATAAATTTTATAAACATATTTTTGAAATTAACATTTAAATATTATTATCACCTGTAACAACAATTAGCTTAAATAAATCGTTTCCAGCTTTTGATTTGAACCTCATTATACGACAGCAATCGTTGTGGTCAACCACTACATTACATAGTTGTAAATTGAGGAGGTTTGTTTATAACAAGTTAATGCTGTTATTAAATACACTAATTAATTTAATTTCATTATCCTACATGGAAATTAGAAGGTTACAATTATGTTTAAATAATTTATTTCTGGGAATATGTACTAAAAATATAATGCACTAACGAGATGTTTTACGCGCTTATAGAAGTACATTTAATTTTAATCAATTGTAGGGTAGTTTGAAGGGAAATAATTTTCTAAGGGAATGAAAAGAAAACGTTAAGTAGTTAAGCAGGTACCTACACTAAATATGTAATATTGTCACGTGACGCTGACGTAATACATTCTTGAGGAGTATGGTGTCACACCTTCGTACCATGTAATTTTACTATCATGTCTCTAGTTTGTTTTCTTCTTTTTCTCTTATTTGTACAAACTTCTCCAACAAGCCGCTTCAGTGAAGAAGAGTTGGAGCCTTACAAAGCAAGCTGCTTAGTGATAGAAATAAACAGAGGGAGAGGTATTCGCATTCGACGTTGTATAAAGCATGAGAGAAAGAAGAGAAGAAATAAGTCTAGATAAAGAGTATATAAATCGTTTTTATATGTACCTGTAGGTATATGTACAGTAGTAGTCTCAGGTTTATAGTACGACGGCTGTAGGGCCCCATAGGGAGGGTACACGGCAGCCGTAGAAGGGTACCCTGTGTTCCACTCACTGGCACCCAGGATGTTGCCACTGCTCTCTGAAATTCAAGGAAAAAAAAAACATGTATTTCAAAACATCATAAGGACTGTTTTTTGCTTATGTATGATAAACCCTGTTCTATATCTAGATATAGGTACTGCTATTGAACGTGAAGAACGTAACGCAACTAATACTTGTCAGGTCGACCTCCACACTGCGGCCTCCAGTTGAAACCATCATGGTTAATTCTTGGAGAATTAGGCAAGTGGCCTAACTGACCTGACTTCGCGCGTCAATTATTTTGTATTCTTATCATCCTTCGCTGGAGTCCTGAGACAGCATACCATTATCATCCTTAAAAAAACGGATGCAACGACTATATAAGTTTTTCCTTGTAAAAAATATGGTAAATAACTAGAAAAATTATTTAGAAGATCTAAACAATTCGCTTTAACTTGGGATAATCGTTAAATATGTAAAGCATTTTTAAGATAGAATTTTGTGCGAGTCACCTCTGTAGGCACAACAATACAGATACGATCTACTTCTGACGTGGAGTTGTAATGTGTACAACATTTAATTTTTAAACATGAAAAGTAGTAATACGCGTGATGACATACTATGATGACGAGTTGTTGAAAAACATTCTATATTGCAATTACTAGTCATATTTTTTGTAAAAAATTTCCGGTAGTTAATGAACTCATAACATCAACTAAATAACTATATAGGCAATGGCCTGTATAGTCACTTACTATAATAATAATAATTGTTATTATTAATTAAACTAAGTCACTAGAATATTTAGATATTCATAAGATTATAGATTTTATTGTATCCTAACAAATTTTTCAGTAACTAGAATTTCTAAATATTCTAATCGTCTAATATATCTAATCTTAACAGGTGTACTGAGTATTTAACTTGTTCGTATTAATACATCTTTTATTGATACACATATCTTGTTTTTGCACGATTATGTTTTTGGCGGTTTATCTATCTCAATAACGTCTTTAAGGAAAATCCAGGTACTAGGTCGTCATCGCATTTATTGTGCGCATATAATATACGCACAAAAATTATAATGACGTCAAAATGTTGTATTTTTTGTGATGTCATAACCATGACACTAAAAATTTCTATGCAGGAAAATCATAAAATTTAATAGAACTGGGTTTATCCTGTTTTTATAAATAATTTTGTTACTACGAATATTTTCAAAAAAGTCACCTAGAACCTCTTGAAATTCAATTTGAACTTCCAAGTAGCTTAGTAAGTTGAATTTCGGTTGTAGCATACGAAAAAGCAGTGTCATTACATGCACTTCCTAGCATGACGTCTTAGTACATAATTCGTTAATATATTCTTACTGGATGATAACGTGATGAATAAATTCAGGCGTAGGTTACCATTTACTACATCATCCGATGGATCGTCAGTATTGTTATATAATATATTATTATATATGTCACTCAAATTACAAAAATATATAAAATTGCAAAAGCCACCCTGCCTGAGGGATGGCGAGGCAGTGAATAGGACTTTTACCCATCGTTTTAAAAAACACAGCCTATGCCGAAGTCAGGAGTTTCGCATATGCATTCTACCCCTCTGAGAAGTTAATTATAATTCTAGAAAGTTCCAACATTTTATTTGCTGTTTGATGGCGATGTCAATAATGTGTTAATATGGAGGTCACGCGTGCGGAACACTACACACGTGAACGCCGCATACGCATCGGGTTTGCCGTCTGATTCATGCGTTTATAGCGGTAGTAAATCACCAATGAAAGTGGAGTTGCTTTCAAAATTATGAATACAATTGCATTTCGTCATTACAGTTTTGGATACTATCACCTTATTTCATACGAATCATAGCGTAAGGAGTAAACTGGTAATTTTTATAGGCTACGTAATATTGAAAGGTAGTCTAAATTTTTGCGATGCGGTGCAGTAAGGACAAACGTAGCGCAGCGTACCGCAATCATGGCCAGGCAATCGCAAAGTTATCTTTAGGGTGTTCAAATGCAATTTTTTATTCAAATAACTTTAATGCACGTTATACATCATTAAAAACTACACCAATGACATTTTCTACCAGTCAACTATGAGTTGTGCAGAGATAAGTTGTTGGCGGTGCAAATAATATTAGATATGTATATATTATAATATATTCAATTATGTTTGCTTACTGTCAAAATAACCACATCAGTGTTACTATTTAAAATTTCCAATTATATCTTCTCAATATATATCTCTATGCTTTTTCAATCTAATTAAAAACTTATAAGGTGAAAAAATATATGTATGATTTGTCGGTTTCGATGACCGACATACGTTATCTTTTAACCCAAAAAAGCGAACTACTATGTTTATGATGATATGTACAGCGGCTTATTATTAACATTAACGGGTTTATTGTATAAAAATATCAAATTGTACTGACTTCGTGCCAAAATTAATCAAAGCTTATTGTAAATTATTAGCGAAACACTTGTTGTTTATCAAGTTTATTAGTCACCACTTTATAAATTTTATTTCTATTAGGTATTTCATCCAAACTTAAGAACTGAGATAATTTGGTATAGATTGATTTACCTTCACGATATCATAATTAACATATGGTGTTATGGAATTCTTAAATGAATTACATAAAACACCTAGTTTGACTTGCTGAATAACCTTTCAATAGCCGCATGGAAAAGTAAAAAAAGATTTATTTGTGTAGGCTATAACTACTATATATTTATTTGTTTAGTGTATGTAGACAGATAAATCGCATTTATAATTCATTTTTGAAATGTTAATTATTATTTAGTGAGTGTAAAAGTGTACAGAAATACTTTCGAATATAATGACTAAACAGGTAAACGAATCTTAGTAACATTTTACTTGAAAATTGTATCACGAAGACGTCTTCGTGGGCTATATATTATTTATAAAAAAAACCACACGATCTCACTCCAACATATAGACAGATAATTACACTTTCAAAATATAAATTGGAACAAGGAGTGAACTATAGTGCCCATAAAATTAATTTATTAGAAAGTCTGTTCCATTGCTTCTTGCTACCCAAAAGAGCAACAGGCGTGAAGGTCAACTACCTTAATAAGTAGTTAATATATTTGTTATATACATATAATTATATTTTACTTTATATTGACGGCCTTGTAGTTTAGCGGTTTATCAAACCGTTTTACTTCCGATTGTCGCGGGGTCTATTCCTCGCACGGTGCAAACATTTGTATTCACGAGTATGACTGTTTATATCCATCTGGGTGTCTATGTATCTGTATTATGTAAGTACTTAAAAAATAAAATCTAAGTATTTATATCAGTGGCATAGGATCCATCCTAACACAAGCTCTGCTTACTGTGGGACTATAGATAGCGCTGAACACAGCAGTTATTTATTTATTATTGTTATATTAAAAAACGTTATACTCTCGCAACATCACAGTTTACAACAATGTTTTGGTGGTAGTTGTGTGAGTCAATGTGCTAATAAAATGATTATGTTAATTTGGTTATAGTAGGCTTTGTATGCATATTGGGTAGGTACGCGAGGCGATGCACGTACACACATGTGTCAATTGTACATTATATTTGGTAGTTTCTTTTAATATATTTGATCGTACCGATTTATGCGGACTTATTTGGCATTTCTACCAAAATAGATGTTGCAAATCATGTACATGTTTTACTAGTTTAAAAATAAATCTGATTGTTGTTTTTGCGGTTGATTTTGTATGATGAATCTTTGATTCAGTAGCTATAATATTATTTGTCTGTACTTTTGTCAGTATTTGTTGTGGTATGAACAGCATTCGACTTTGCAGTTTCGCCGGATAAAAATATTGAATGATAATCCACGACAAAGTTTAATTTATAAAATAAACCGATGGTTTGTTTCTATCTTATTATGTTCATTCTAGTGATCAGAACTGGCATAGCATAAGTAGGTGGTGCTATTTGGTACCTACCTACTAAAATAGTACGTAATATCTAAATATATCGTATATATCAGTAGATTTTAAACATGAAACATATATCCATATATAAACATAAAATCACTTAGGCGTTATTAAAACTCGGCGATTGCTTACGTTCGAACGTATCAAAATAAAAATCTTATCTATGACTGTAAATATATAATTTATAAATAGAACACAGCTTTAATTGGAGTCGCATTAACACTGTCGTAAGCCGTTTACGTCGAATTATGAATAAATGAATCTAATTATTAGCGTCTATGAATCGTGTATGGGATAAGGCATTGACGCAAATGGCCAGTATCTGTTGGTATTTCCAGCGCTTCGATGCGCATGGAACAAGAAGCTCTACAATTTACATTTACATATTTAGACTACAGACTTGTATTCATCACCACTGGTAAATACTGTATCTATACTAAGAACTATGGAAATATTTTGAAAGTTAACTGGAAAATTATAAATATCGTGAGTAATTTTTCCAATGTGATTGTAGGTGTGTCGTGTTCTTAGTAAAATTGTAAATATTTGCTAAATATTGCATTAAATAAAAAAAGTAATCATAGGCTAGTATGGTTTTGAGATAAGTGAAGACCACAAAGTAAGAGATTAAATAATGAGATTCAGTTCTCTTCGCCTTCCCTAAATAATGAATTATTTAACTCATAAAAATCATTTTAATGTTGACATAAAAATGATATGGTAAAATAAAATTCGATGGATTATTTACGTACACACGGATCTAAAAATATAAATATTTTCTATATGAAGTTTGGAGAGATTACATTACCTACCTATAAATCTTTTCAATATAGAGTATGTTACGATATAGAAGTGTAGATTGTATTAAAATATGTATTTTTTTATATAGTATACATGATCAATATTAAACGTACACAAATTGGTTTAGAAGATTAACTTGTAAAGTATTTCTCAGAAATTCCACAACGATTGCGCTAAATAAAATAATAAACATTAATTATGTCAAACCACATTGTGTACAACCCAACACTAAACTCTGGACTACTACAGCGTCCTCTGGTGTGAATAAATAAAACAACCAGCGATGTTGGATTGCTGAACTTAAAAAGGGGTTTATTTTTATAAAATGGCGTACATATATACACAGTAATACAACGAAACCATATCGACGTCTACTTTTAACACAGCGCCATCTAGTATGTAGCTCGAGTACTAAAGCTTCTATATAAAATAACAAACTTATACATTCCGCCCACCAAGGACATGATTTGTCCTTCACACTTGGAGCCGCCCACCATGGATACGTAATAACAAATGTAGGGCAATAACATATTATAAACAACTAAACTATAGATAGTAGGGCTTAAAAAAAATAAACTAAATAATTAATTAACTAAAAATGAGTAAATCAACACTAACACTATAAAAAAAATAACAATTTACTCTGTAATAGGTAGTACACATAACTTTGAAGTGGGGCGTTTAATTAGTGAATTCTGATTCCTAATAGTAACTACCCGAGTGATGTTATCCATGCCTGGATGTTTAGCAACCACTCTCCCGAGCAACCATCGACAAGGAGGTAAGTCGTCTTCTTTTACTAAAACTACATCCCCAACGTCAGGTTCTGGTTTTTGATGTGACCACCTATACCGATGAAGAAACCGTGTAAGGTATTCTTGAGACCAACGCCTCCAAAAATCTTGCGTCAATCTTTGAACCAACTGCCACCTACGAAGATTAGATATGTTGGACCTTTCAAAGTTGTAATCTGTAGGAGCTAGTAATGGTCCTCCGATGAGGAAATGCCCTGGTGTCAAAACATTTATTGTATCCTGTTCTGAGTCTATTCTGGATAGTGGACGTGAATTTAAGCACGCTTCTATTTGTGCTAAAGTTGTGGACAATTCCTCGTAAGTTAAAATTAAATCTCCAACTATTCGCCTTAGATGAAATTTGGTAGATTTTATCCCGGCTTCCCATAACCCTCCAAAATTAGGAGAGCGTGGTGGTATAAAATGCCACGTAGTACCTTGTGTGGCTAGAATTTCGGCTACCTCTGTTGAAATTTTTTTATTCTCAGAAGCGAACAAAGTTCGTAATTCGCGCGAGGCGCCAACAAAATTTGTTCCATTATCGCTCCAAATATCTGTACATAAACCTCTGCGAGCAACAAAACGTCTAAAAGCCGCCAAAAACCCTTGTGTGGTAAGGTCTCCAACCAACTCAAGATGTATCGCCTTAGTGGCCATACATATGAATAGACAAATATATCCTTTTGTAGAATGATAACCGCGACCCTTTGTAGTTTTAACATTCACAGGACCTGCATAGTCAACACCACTACACTGAAAGGGTCTTCCTGGAGATACTCTAGCTGTAGGTAATTGACCCATTAATTGAGTAGAAGTAGTTGCAGAGTAGCGAATACATTTAACACACTTGCGAACATAGGCTTTAACTAAATATTTCGCACTCAAAATATAATATTTAGTCCCAATAAAGGACAACATAAGTTGTGGTCCTCCATGCAAAGTTTTCGTATGCGCATCAGCAATAATAAGTTTTGTAAATGGTGAATTTTTTGGCAATAATATAGGGTGTTTAGCATCTAAATTGAGTTGTGATTTTTCAAGTCGCCCACCTACTCGTAAAACTCCAGAACTATCAATAAACGGATTTAACGATTTCAGCGGACCCTTAACTGTACTGTACTCTATATTTTTATTAATCTGAGCTATTTCTTCATGGAAATTTTGTTTTTGGCAAATTTTTATGCAAGTTTTTAAAGCACCCGCCAATTCCTGTGTTGAAAGAAAAGTAGTACTCTGTCGCTGTTGTCCGGTACGTAGATTTAAAAAACGTTTACAGTATGATATTACTCGAATTAATCTTGTCAATGAATTGTATCGATCCCAAAGTGTAGTTTCAGTGACTGTTAGGTGTACTTTACTTTCTTCTAAATGTGTTGCAATATCCTTTGGTTTATTGTAATGCACCTCATGTTTATGTAAAAACTCCGGTCCGTTAAACCACGTTGTATTTTGCCATAGATCTGATGGACTAACACCTCGGGATGCACAATCGGCAGGATTCTGTCCTGATGTTATATGTGCCCATTGTTGAGAATCTAAAGTTGACAGGATCTCGGACACTCTATTGGCAACAAAGGTTTGCCATTTACTTGGATGGCTATTAAGCCACGCTAAAACCACCGTAGAGTCAGTCCAGGCTCGAATGTCTTTTTTAGGGATGCCTAAAACTTCAGCTACCTCGACCAAAAGACGTGTCACCAATACGGCACCACACAATTCCAATCTAGGGACTGAAATTTGTTTGATTGGCGCGACTTTGGTCTTAGCAGAAACCAAAGTGACATGGATATTACCACGTTCGTCTGTTAATCGTATATAAACGGCTGCTGAATATGCTATCTTCGACGCATCTGAGAAGCCATGTAACTCGACTCGTGAAGATGTGAATTTAGTTCCGAACCATCTCGGTATGTTAATTTTTGTTAGCTCCGACAAGCCTGTGCGGTAAGTATGCCACTCATTAATTATATTATTTGGAACTTCATCATCCCAATCTATTCCCAAGATCCAAAGCTTCTGAATTAATACCTTTGCTATAATCACGCTAGGGGCTGCCCAACCCAGCGGATCAAATAATCTTGCTATTTCTGAGATAATCTTTCTTTTTGTTACAGGTCCAGACACCGGAGGAAGATTCACCGAATATTGAAAGGTATCTGCTGAACGATTCCAGGTAAGTCCTAAAAGTTTAACTACTTCATCTAACTTTATCTTCAACCCTTCCTGTGCATGTTCATTTCCCTGCTTTATTTCATTTAACAAATCTTCACTGTTAGTCATCCATTTTTGCAGTTGAAATCCACCTTTTTGTAATAGTTGATTCATTTCTTGATAAATAATAACACCTTCTTCAACAGTATCACAGCCTGTCAGAAGATCATCCATGTAGAAGTCGTTTTTTACTCTTTGAACTACACTTGGATAATTATCGCCTTCATCTAATGCAACTTGTTGCAGTGTCCTTACAGCTAGATAAGGAGCAGCAGCCGTACCAAAGGTAAGTCTTTTTAATCTATAATCTTCAATTGTTCCATTTTCATTATCTCTCCATAGTACTCGCTGAAATTCTGCATCTTGTTCGTACACCTTAATTTGCCGATACATTTTGTTGATATCAGCAGCTAAACATATCTTATATATTCTCCACCGCATGATTAAATGGCGCAACTCTGGCTGAAGTGTTGGCCCTATCATTAATAACTCGTTTAATGATACACCATATTCATTTTTTGCAGAAGCATCGAATACTACGCGAACCTTTGTTGTATCTTTGGCATTATTTATCACTGCATGATGAGGTAAGTAGAAACTTAATCTATTTTCTTTTTCTGTTTCTGGTATCCTTTCCATGTGCTCTAGATGTAAATACTCTTTTATAATCTCTGTATACTTTTCTTTCAGTGTCTCATCTCTATTTAATTTCACCATTAATCTCTTCAATCGTTTTGTAGCTATATCTCTCGAGTTTCCGTTAATATATTGCAGATTTTCAGACTTAAATGGGAGTTTGACAATATATCGTCCCTCACTGTCTCGTTTTGTAGTTTCTTTATATAGTTGTTCACAGAGTATTTCTTCTTCTGTCAAGATTCGTTTTAAAGAATAAGGATCACTTTCAATTTCCCAAAATTTTTTAAGGTAATCATTCTCATGCGTACATAAATGCAAGGCTGTAACATTAGTTACTGATCTAAATGATGCTTCTTTTATTGTACCAGAAAGTATCCATCCTAGCGACGTAGCTTGTGCCACTAGTGTACCATGAGGTCCTCTTTTAACCCCATCTTCAATAATCTGTCCATATATCTCAGCTCCCAACAAAATATGGATTTTGTTTGGAGTGTGATATTGAGGATCTGCAAGTTGTATTTCATTTAAATCCAACCAGTCCAATTCAACTACTTTCTTATTTGGTAGAAAAGTAGTAATTGTTTTCAGTACATATGCTTGCACCATAATAATTATTTCAGGTTTGATGCGTGAGCGTATCTTCAGCTGGACCATATACTTGGCAGTTACATTTTTATTTCCTTCTAGACCAGATATCGTTCCCTGTACTGGAATTTTCTTTACCCCCAAATATTGAGCAGTCGCTTCTGTGATGAAGGATGCTTGTGAACCTTGATCCAGTAACGCCCTTATAACCCGACTCTCCCCGTTTTGAGTATCAGCTTGAACGAGTGCGGTGGCAAGCAATACTTGACTATGAACTGCAGTTTGACCAGCAGAAAAACATGAAACTATATTACTAGATGTTTCCCCACTATCTATATCTACTTTTTTATCTTTACTTTCGACTTTATTTGTTGAATTACCAGAACCTGAAATTTCTAAATGGTCCCTTTTCTGTGGATGCAAGAGAGAGTGATGCCTACGTTTACAAACTTTACAAATAGTAGTACTCTGGCAGAACTTGGCAGAGTGGTTGCCTCCAAGACAATTGAAACACAAACTATTTTTAGCTACAAATTCATAACGGTGAGTATAATCTAATTTTGCGAATTTTTTGCAGAAACATAATTTATGCGTTTCCGAACAGAATTCACAATTTATTTTAGCCACGTGCATACAAGTTTTAGTTTTAGGATAAGACCCGCTACTAGGAATTGAAGATCGCTGTTTTGGTTCTATACATTCTAAAGCCCGAAATCTACTTTGAAGAAATTCTGAAAATTGATTGAAAGTGGGTAGTTCATTTGAATTCTCAGCTGATATTTTCAATTCCCATTGTTTGCGTGTTTCCTGATCTAGTTTATAATTTATAATGTGTATTATAATAATATCCCATGTGCTAACATCTATATTCAAATTTTTTAACGCGTGTATACAATCAGTTGTAGTATCTAGTAATTCTTTTAAAACTGATGCGGATTCATTACCTAATGATCTTTGGCTAAACAATCTTTTTAAAATACAATTTGCCAAATATCGCTTGTTATTGTACCTATTCTCTAACTGTTGCCAACACTGTATATAGTTTGCAGAAGTAATCGGAACATGTCTAATTAATTGCTCCGCTTCTCCGGTCAAATGCCCCTTTAAATAATGTAACTTCTGTACATCATCTATTGAATTATTAGAATGAACCAAAGAAATAAACAAATCCCTGAAGGAATACCACTCCGTATATTTTCCTGAAAATTGCGGAATAATTATTTTCGGAAGTTTTACCGCAGAAGAGGACCCATTGCCTGCTTTAGAAGAACCAGAATCTTTATCACCACTACTAATTTTATTTTCATTAAAACTTTTTAAATATCTTTTAAGTGTGCTTTTATAATCAGAAAATATTTCTTCAGTTTTGTCATATATTTCATCTTTAACATAAAAAGTACGTTGTACATCTTCCCACTTATAATCCTTAAGTATTTGCTGATGTGTAGTGAGAAACTCAACCCACAACTGTTCTATATTATCCAGTTTAGTTTCTACATATGACTCCGTTATTCGGTCTTTCGGAGATTTTTTAAAGTTAATTTGTGCCTTTGATATTCTATTAAAATTGTCTCTTTGACAATTCAATAAACCTTCCATCTTATTTAATTACAGAAATTACAATTATATTTTAAAGAGTTAAAAGTAACAAGAATTGTACTAAGTCTCTAAACCTTTATACTTAGTAAATTATTCTATGTCACCGATATACTAGTACACAAATGAAAACTCAAACTATAAAATATTCTAAGTTCAATTTGAAAGTAAAAAATATAAGTTTTAAATTGTACTAAGTTCCTAAATTTTTAAACTTAGCAAATTATTATATGTTCCCAGTATACTACTACACAATTGAAAATCGAAACTATAAAAAATATTCTAAAACAAATAAAGAAAATGTCCCTAAATTTATAAACTTAACAATTTATTCTATGTAGGCTTATTACTATTCAATTGAAAATTCAAACTATAAAAATATACTAAGGCCAATTTTTAAGTAAAAAATACAAATGAAAATAATTGTACTAAGTTCCTAAATGTTCAAACTCAGCAAATTATTTTATGTTTCTGACATATTACTATATAAATTAAAATTCAAACTATAAACTACTCTAAATTCAGTTTTACAGTTAAGAATTTTACAAGTGTTTGAACGTAATAAATAAAAAACCAGACATAGGTTCTCCGTATCAACTCTTTTCTTAAAACTATTAAAAGTGTTACAAATTTTACTAAATGTTATATAATAATTATTTTCTAAATTATTATTGTCCATATAACTTCCAACCTTATTTTTTCTCAAATAGAAAGTTCAATTTCGCGTAACTTCCGTAAATAAATTTAAATGTACTCACAATATTTTCCGTTTCACTCACACCACAACAATATTACTGCAACTGCACTTGCGCTTGTCACACCATGTGACATTTCAAGGTTACCGTGACGTCGTTGGCTCGCCTCTGACCTCTCACTCCAACGCCGTCTTCAGATCTGCTGTCTCGCTCACTCCTTGAGCGCTTAGCAACTCCGATGTCCTCCGATTGTAAACCGAGTAGCGAACCACTGCCCCTACTAGGTTCTATCTTCCGCCATATTACCACTTAATACTGGGGAAGATCGGCATTCGGCTCGAATTTGGACCAAAAAATGTACAACCCAACACTAAACTCTGGACTACTACAGCGTCCTCTGGTGTGAATAAATAAAACAACCAGCGATGTTGGATTGCTGAACTTAAAAAGGGGTTTATTTTTATAAAATGGCGTACATATATACACAGTAATACAACGAAACCATATCGACGTCTACTTTTAACACAGCGCCATCTAGTATGTAGCTCGAGTACTAAAGCTTCTATATAAAATAACAAACTTATACACATTGGAACAATGTACTCACAAGATAATATAAAAACACATAATTTATAGTAAAATGAGACTATTAAAAAACAGTAATATTATCATTCAAGGATATTTGTTCTATTATTTTATGAAATGTCAGTGTCTGATAACGCACGTAACTTTATAGCTGATAAATCCATTGTAAACAAAATAATCAAATCTTTCCTATTTATAATAAGTACATATTACTTAAGACAATTTCATACTCGTATATGTAATATTATCTTATCTGTGGTCCAAGTATAAACTGAAATCTAAACACATTGTACGATCAATAATAAACAGCGTTAACTTAACAATATATTTTTTTAACAATCGACTTTAAATCTCTTATATTTAATGTCTATTTCCCAATTTTTTTTTTGTTATTATCTTTTTTTTATTTCATATCTTCCCTGGACAATTAACACAGCACCATCTACTAGTAGCCCCATAGTAAGCAGAGTTTGTGTTATGGATTAGATATCTGTTATAAATACCTACTTAGTTATATATATATATATATATATATATATATATATATATATATATATATATATATATATATATTTAAATTCATTCATAATATAGCGGCGGTATAAACAATCTTACTAATGCATACAAATGTTTGCAACGTGCACAAATGTTTGCAGGTGTACTAAACCACTAGACTACCGAGGTCGTCAAAATCAAGTTAATGCATTATTAAGTATTTGCGATTTGTACAAAATAATAATTTCTCGTTTCTAATGATTTGTAGGGCAGTTCAACCAGTACATAAGTAGGAAAGTGCGCTTGGTTCCAACGATCCACTTCATTTTGCGGTCCCAATGTTCACCGTTCCTAATTTTGCTCGCTGGCACATGAAATTAAAATAGCTTCCATCTATAAATGAAGCATGTACTTACCTACCCATTGACATGTTATTGTAATCAGTACTTAAATTAAAATGGACACGGATTTGAATTTAAATTTGCTGTCAATATTATCATATTATGTTATCTGTGATATTATCAAGTAAGTAAATAAACTTTTATACGACGACCGATATTCGACCAGATGCATATTACACACACTTATATTCTAGCAAATTCGTGCTTGCACTTCATAAAAATGACGATTATATTGATATCATTTAAATAGTCAGATTCATGATCAATAAAAAAATGCTATTTGATTATGTTTTATTTAGTAGAAATGTTGTTTGCTAGCAATGTCTTAAATTGTACATAAATAGCAATATTGCTTGTTATCATTAATGAAGCAACCACCTAAATAATATTATTGCAAAAAAAAAAATGTTATTCAACACAGCCTGTGTTGTAAGCCTAGGATGCAATGATATAACGATAATTGATTTTTAAAGAACTTACAACACTTGATATTACATTTTATCAAAAACAAAATTAAGTTTTGATTGCTATGTACAATTATTTGAAAGCCATTTACGAGTATTATAAAAACTTAGCTTCTGGCATTTGACAGATTTCTGAAAAGATCTCGCTTGCTATATTAACATAGTAGGAACGGACAGGGAGCATAGGCCTGCCGGTGACGTGGGATAATTACCATCCCCCCACCCCGCTGTGCAGCGTCCCCCACCCCTTGTCCCTTCCAGCTTGCAGTGCATCGCACGTAATGTTACATTAACACCCTCACCTCGGCCGCGTGCGAACTGTCAAAACATCAACCTGTATAACGAATGAAAATATTTCTCGACTATAGTTTTGATGAAATAAAATTGCTACTGACTACTAATGGGTTGTTATTATAAGACCATTCGAAATTTGAAAAAAGTGAGTTCGATGTACGACTGCGATTACAAATTTTGGTTCTATGAGTACATGAGTTTTTGTATTTTGCGATTTTTTCTTAACTCTATTCTAGTAATACAATATTTTATAAAAAGGGATTTAGTAATAATTCATTCGCGCTTGTACTTCTCACACTTTTTGTAAACTACCTAGATAAATATTAAAGTTGCCATAATTAGGAATCTAAATATATATAACTCAAAGGTGACTGACGTAGTGATCTATCAATGCACAGCCCAAACCAATGGACGGATCGGGCTGAAATTTGGCATGCAGTTAGATATTATGACGTAGGCATCCTCTAACAAAGGATTTTGATAAATTCCACCCCTAAGGAGATAAATTAACGCGAGCGAAGTCGCGGGCAAAGCTAGTAATTGATAAGTACTTTCAATTCAGTGCTTATCAACTATTCCGCTCTATTAGCGTAAAGATATAAATATTTATCCCTAATTAATATCTGGATTAGGATTTTGCTTACCGTTATTTATTTTTTCATTATTGTATGTAGTTCATTTCGTGCAATGAGATAAGTAGGTAGCAACTCAAAGACTTAGCTTATCCGCTTAGGAACTGTACTTTACTATAATACTAATACATACACATATAATTTTATGATGCATTCTGTTTGTCGCAATGGCATATTATCGTATCACTGTTCTCACAAACTATTATTCTAACAATGTGATATAACTACTGTAGGTTCGAAGTGTGATAACTGATAAAACAAAATGATTTTCCCATGTTAACTTATCGTGAGAATGTTGTTTTTAATATTCAAATCCTATTGAAATATATTATAGCAAACATTTGATATTGTAATACATATTGTTCATAATGAAATTGGCATCCTATTATTATTATTTAAGGACTAAGAAGTTTTTCAAAAATTAAACATATGTCTAATTATGTATCTACTGATCAGCAGATTTATTAGAGAGAGAGGATCTTGAGAGACTATATATAAATCAAATGACTTTGTATGAAGTATGTGATATTCTATTAACTGTAATAATAAGTATAGTACACTGTATACTAGCTACTACTTATAATTATTACTTGTATTCTGTTTATTTATTCTACCTTCGAAAGCTTGTTTTCATGCTGTGTTCTAGTCTAAAAACTGAAGTACATATGAATACGAATTGTGACTAATCGGGAGAGAACTGAAAGCGATAATTGTTCAGAGATGATAATGCACGAGCGCTGTTTATCACAGACGACACGGAATCTGGTGTGTATATGTCGCTTTTTAATATAGTATTCTTTTTTCTTTTTCATGACAATTCACACAGCGCCATCTAGTCCAAACATAAGCATAGCTTGTGTTGTGCGTATTAGACAACTGATACAAAGGTATAAGTACTTTTTTGTGAGTACATAAGTATGTAATATACATATAGAAAACACCCAGATTGATGTCGACAATCATGCTTATATATACAAACGTTTATACCATGCGAGGAATCGAACCCGCGACCATCGGGAGTAAGGTGGTGTGCTGAACCGCTAGACCATGGAGGCCGTTAAATTCATAAAGTTCATTTCATTTTAACGTATAATAATAATAATAAAACTACATATAAAATAATAAGAAAATACAGTAAATAGTAAAATAATAACAAAAGGCGGTTATCGCTAAATGCAATCTCTTACTGACAACCTAGAAGAGAGGACTTATGTACATAGAATAGGGTAGGTGGCTCACATAAGACACTATTTATTATACGACTAGATATAATACTTACATTAGGGAATAAATATATAAACCTACATATATACATACATATATACTACATATTGGAAGAATGAGAAAAAAAAACATGTACTATGAAGAGAGATAATGAGATCTTAGTCTATTTTTAAATGATGCATGTGTTTGAGCTGATCGAATGGAGAGTGGTAG